TAAACCCACAGCTGGGTTTAGATCTGCACATGAAATTATCTCTTTCCTTGAAGGAAAACTAGCTAAACTACCCTTGCCATTACCGGACCGGAATTCAGAGCCAAATCGAAGGAACAGCAACTAGAGCTCATTCCTCGGTTACAAGTCCTCGCTCGTTCATCGCCCACCGATAAGACTATATTCGTTTCCCGTTTGCAAGAATTAGGGGAAGTTGTCGCAGTTACTGGAGATGGTACCAATGACGGACCAGCATTAAAAATGTCCGATGTTGGATTTAGCATGGGGATCACTGGTACCGAAGTCGCGAAAGAAGCTTCTGATATCATTTTGATGGATGACAATTTTAATTCCATAGTCAAAGCCCTAAAATGGGGACGTGCAGTCAATGACAGTGTACGAAAATTTTTACAGTTTCAACTTACCGTTAACATCACTGCAGTCTTCTTATCCTTTCTAAGTGCCGTTCTCAGTGATGATAACGAATCTGTATTGACGGCTGTACAATTACTCTGGGTCAATCTTATTATGGACACGTTGGCTGCTCTTGCTTTGGCGACGGAGCCACCTACAGATGATCTGGTGAATAGAGGACCTACTTCTAAAACTGCTTCATTGATTAATTACCGAATGTGGAAAATGATTATTGGAGAAGCGGCTTTCCAGATAATCATAAATCTGACTTTGCTAAATATCGGGTACAAGATCTTTCACCTTGATGAGAACAACAAACACGACAGAGAAGTGATGCGAACTATTATCTTTAATACATTCGTTTTCCTTCAAGTCTTCAATGAGATCAACTGCCGCCGAATCGACGACACCGTAAACGTTTTCCGAAATATTTTCAATAATCACATCTTCATCATAATTCAGATTGTTGTTATTGCAGGCCAAGTCCTTATTATTCAATTCTGCGGGATAGCCTTTGGTACTGTGCCACTTAATTGGTACCAATGGCTCGTCACCGTATTAATCGGATTCCTTTCTATACCAGTGGGTCTAATAATTAGGCTCATTCCTAATTCTTGTTTACCAGAAAGCATCGTGGATGAGGAATACAAACGAAAAGTCACCAAGGAGAGGATGCTTTGGGAAAAAGGAATAGATGATGTCAAAACCCAATTAAAAGTATATAGTGTTTTAAGAAAGAAAAAGGATCGTATCAACGCGGGATCTCGAAAGAACAGTTTCGATAGCACAAGTGGATTAGGCCGAAACAAGTTTGCTAATTTTGTGAATGCAACCATGCATTAATTTTATCCATCATGCATATCCACATATATATGTGTATATTATGGAGCCAATACCGAGGATTAATGACAATGATATTCCCAATAAAATGTATGAAAGGTGCATGTCATCAGATAAATCTGCACCGAATTGGTTTGTAACAACCTCGCCGATTTAACTGTTATTAGTTCCCGGTCGAAATTACATTCATTTAAATGGATGATATATGGATTGATTCGACATGTGTTTAGTCATTTTGATTTCTTAAATTACACATTTCTACGGTTAAAAAGTATTCTATAAACCACTCGCTAAATAACTTTATTAAATATCCCTTTCCTTTTTTTTTTTTTTCACACGATTTTATGTTACCTAATGTAAAATATCCAAACTTCGTGGGTACTCGCAATACTGATCTCCCACGTGTGTGACTTGAAAAATACCTAAAAAAAAATAAAAAATTAAAAATTTTTTTCTTTAAATTTTTGTATGGTCAAAGTCGAGGAGCGGCGAGAAATGGATTAATTGCCTTGTTGCGAAGTGTAAATTGAATGATTATTTCTATGAATATTCATAACTGTCTGGGTTTCCAGAACCCGACCCGGTTTACGCTCTTTGCCGCTAACCAGTAACTCCCTCCGGGTATAGGTGAATCGGAAGGGTGGGACGCCTTTAACATAAAAATTTGATTTCAATATTAAATAAATCGAAAAAAAATAATAATAATAAAATTATGCCATTCATCCTATTACCGACGAAGCTAACAACAATTTCGGTTTTGTCGCCCTCTCGAATGTCAGATATGACATCTTTACCTTCGGACACGATGGCAGTCGGAAGATCGTATATGATCTCAGTTAAATTTGCGTGCCCACAGCATTGATTCTTTTGATGACAGATTCTGGTGATGGTCATGTTCCCTGGTTTGTCGGCGCCAAATGTAAAGGTGTGTTGTTTAGAGATTGCATATTTTATTTCTCCGTTATATTCGTAGGTGATGTTCCACGGAGGTATTCCTGTGATCGAGATAACGGTTCAAATATTCCGGTTAAAATGATCTCACGCTACTAAAACAACCGATTTACTACTACCTTGCAAAGAGTAATCCAATAAATCACCAACACAATGTATTTGTAGGGGAAACGTCCTTTCAATGGATGCAACGTCCGTAACTTGAACGATTAATTTATTAGATTTATCCTGTATCACGCTATTGCAACCTTGAGAATCCATGATGTAAACCATCGATATTACGTATCTTCCAATCATAGAAAACTTATTCAAGGGATAGAAACGGTAATGCGCATCGTAGATGTTTTCGATTTTCATGGTATCTATTTGGTTGCTACTCTCATGTGTGATTTCGAACTGTAGAACAAAGGGTGCAACACCACTTAACTTGATCTCAAGGGGCTCGGTGAAATCACTTCCGACACAATGATACAAGACACCGGAGGTGATAAATTGGGCCGTCGGCTTGGCCACGACCGTTTGCTCTAGCACAAGCGAGATCGGATTAGGATCTGTGTAGACGTCATCCGCTATACTAGAGAAATTGTATATGTATCGACCGGGCTTCTCGGTCATGAGCCGTATTCTGGTGGTAGGAAATCCGATATTTTGCTGGTGAGAAATCAGCTCATCACCCATCATTATAGTATAAAAAATTAGCCAGGGTGCTCGACCTTCCAAAACTAGACCAACTGTATCTTCGGCTCCTTCGCAAACATGTCTCCTACGATAGTACCCTTTTTGAGGCAATGGTTCCGCTTCACCCCCAGCTATTCTCAAAAATGGTCGAGGTAACCATCTAGCCTCGATGGTCTTCAATTCTGGGATTATTTTTCCATGGCAAAACGAATCTTTGACCTCCAACAGTTCGTAAAAGCCAGGTTTTTCTTCGATCAGGTAAGAATTGGGATTTTGCAAGTTTTGCTCTCGTCGAACTTTATCATCTCCAATATAACGATAGGTGATGTTCCAAGGGGCATGACCGGTTAATTGCAAGGGTAGTTTAGCTAGTTTTCCTTCAAGGAAAGAGATAATTTCATGTGCAGATCTAAACCCAGCTGTGGGTTTATCTTTCTTAACATTGATGGTAGCGTAGTCGGATGAACTAAGTATTTTGCTACATCCTTTTGAATCCGTAATCTTTACCAATGTCACAGTATATAACCCCTGATTGTCAAATGGTGGCGAGGTGATTACATGACTGGGCCCTTGGATATCCGCAATGGTGAATGCATTGGTTCTTCGATTGAAAACCACATCATATCTAACAACAGGAAGTTAATAAATTCAAAATGAAAGAGTAGAATTAAATAAAAAAAAGTCTCCTGCAAATTATCGAATAACTGAAATTGTCTTTTATCACGAATCCACTTACATCAGTGTGAACGGTCCCGTCCCAGAAAATTCGACTTCCAAATCAACGCGACTTCCGATGCAACTGTTCAACATTTGATTCTTCGCTCCCCGAAATGCGGCGTGAGGCATCGGGTGAACGATCTGCGTAAATCTGTGATCTATACCGACCCCTTCTGTGTAAATGTAGTCTGATAATCGATAAAACACGTAATCATAGTTTCCCGATTTGTCAGGCTTTATGATCAATGAATGTCTCGACTTATCAATTTTGGCGAAACCACGCTCATCCCCATCGCGGGTGACCAACTTGTATTCAAGATGCCTGCAAATCAAGTATGCATCTATTTAGTCTTGTCTGTCCACCTCATAAAAAGATAATCACCATCCAAATTACCATGGCGGAATTCCTGTTAGAGACATCGTAATCTCCACTCCTATTTCTCCGGGACAATTTTCAGCGGGTATTGGATTGGCCTCCATCTTAACAGTTGGCGGATGTGCGATGGACAATGACTTTGACGAAGGAGCCATAATTTGACCAGCGCATTTTGAGTCTGACACGGAAAGCAGCTTGTATATTCCAGGTCTACTGACGCTCATATATTTTTTCTGCTCGCTCCGGTGGTCAATTGTAATCTCAAACATCTCGCTCGGCCTACCATCCATAGATTCTTCAGACCAATACTCTACGTTAATCTTCCAAGGTCCTTATTGTAAAGAATTTATTGTTCAAATGTTATATAAATTAAAACTTCAATTTACGAGTTCATCATAACAAACCTCTGCCTCTTACGTCTATTGCAATATTAGCAATTCGACCAGGACGAACATGGACGGGAGAATCCGTAAAGAAGCTTGCAGTGGGTCTTGAATATACCGAAAAATCGACCATAGTGTCTGAAGATTCCTCGTCATCATAGAAACGTGTATTGTTCAATATATCTTGGATTTGCTGAACCTTTAAAGAATAATCGGCGACTACATCAGCAGTAATGTTCAATGGTACATGAATGACTTGATCCCGAGCCCATTGATAATTGCCAGACGCTGCTAATACCATGGCTTGGTCCGATTGAATTGGCGGTGACGCGTAATAATCCGAGCTAATCCCATCTATTGTCATGTTTATCGCAGCATCGTTCACTCGTCGCTCGTATTGAATACTTAATGGGGGAACCCCTTCCAATACTAAATCGACGCTTATCACGTCGTCGAAGCATAAATTCAAATTTGACTTTGGTATCAATTTTGCCGCAGGACAATAAAATATAATCTCTTGTCTGTTATATATTTTTATTCCCATTCCGTCATTATCCGATGACTCCTCGATGCGATATGCACCAGGCCTATCAATTGGTATGTAAACATAAACCCCATCCTGAATCACGTCGACAATGCGATGCCGTTCGATATCTTTTGAAGAAAACTTATGCAAAGTTTGAGTCCCAGTTTCGAAGTCCACCCTCGAGTAGGTGATAGACGCCGGATAAGTTTTGTTGAATAGTATAGGTAATTCGATGAACTTTTTCTTGTGACTTCTTTGCAGACACAACCTTTCGTCGTCGGGATTTAATTTGGCACTAGCAAATGGTAATAGTCGAACCGTATGTTTTCCCTTTATATGAGATGAGTTGTGCCTTACGACTGTGTTACGATATTCGAGATAAGTGAACTTTTCTTGAACCCGCGTGATGATGCTCGATCAGTGTTAAACAAAAGAACAAATCACCTTCTATTTGAATATCTTCCTGAGAACTAACAGCTCGCACTTTCTCGCCTCTTAACCTAATATACTGTTGTTGGACTAATTAAAAGAAAATTGGGTTGTTACTATGACAAATTTTTGAAAATTTGGTTAATCAATTTTCCATCAAACATTTCCCCCCCCCCAAAATTTCCTTATTCGTGCCCAAAACCAAATTGTTCTATAATATTTTGCTTACATTGTTTGAACAGTTACTGTAAGCGAGGGAGAACAAGGGTAGACGCAAAGTCTCGAGTTATATTGGAAGGAACTTACTGAGTAAAGAGGACGAACTGAATATATCATATATATGTTTTTTTAACTCTACGTCGGAAACCTTGTAAGGTTAGAAAAGTGAGAAAACGAATTCACTTTGTTCTACGCGTAAATTCAATTTAAGACTTTCTAAGACGTACCAAAAGAGGATTTATAATGATGGTATTTATGATACAGAAACCAAGAAAGCACAATAACCAAAACCATAGAGGTTTTTGCAACCACGGTATCCGTAGAACGTATAGTCCAAAGAAAAAAAGAGCGTCCAAAAGATACCAGTAAAGCAGGATTACTGTGAGCGGTAAACTCGTAACCGATTGAAAATAATTGTATGCCTTAAGTGATAATATAACTCCATATACGGCAAGAGCTATGAGTCTCTGTTGGTGGGCTGAACAGATATTTACAGATATTAAGGGAGTTTGTTCGTTGTTAGGAACATGTCGCGCGTTAACACGTCGAACTGCCATTGCGTGTTCGAAGGCATTGACAATAGATCTATTCAAGTTATAATCGATGTTTACACGTGATTCGTTGCAGCATATCGTTGTACAATTTTTAATCCACAACCAGGCTAGATTAAGAAGTTTTTAAATTTATCTTCATAATAGATTTAAAAAAAAAAAACATTTTTAGTTTACATATTATAACTTGTAGAAGTTAACATGATTTGTCTTTATTTTGAATTAATAGAAATAATTACAATTTAAATGTCATCATTAAAATTTCTTTTTTTAAATGCAACTTATACAGTATATAAGAATCAAATTATTTTTATTTTATTTTATTTTTTTTTTTTTGTGCATTTATTTTGCATATACAGCATATTTTTTTTTTTTATGAAATAGCAAACATTATAATATGAGAAGTAGGTGGGTTTATGGAATGCAAGAAATTTAAAAAGAATCAGTTATAAGATATAAAGTATAAGGTAAGTGGAATGAATTACATAACTTTGAGATTTGCAAATATGAAATAACAAAGTGATAAACTTATAGAGCTTAAAAATAGGTTTGTAGAATATAAGGTATATACTGTATATAGTGAATAGTAGTGTTCACAATTTTGATCCGAATCTGATTGATCCGTAAATCGGATATGAATCGGATCGGATTAAATTTCAAAATTTTTAATTTGATCAGATTCAGATCGAATCGAATTTTAAATTTACAAAATTATCGGATTCAAATCTGATCGGATTCAAATTGGATTAGATCAAACCCAATATAATACAAATCAGAAATGCACCAGCCCATCAGTCCATATAAATTGTTATATACAGTAACTATTTAATTTCATTTAAACAAACTATCTAGGAAATTAAAATCGAACATTTTAGGAAATTAAAATCGAACATTCTAGGAAATTAAAATAGTTTTTTTTTTTAAAAAAAACAATATAAAAAGTAAGCTAAAAAAATTCACTACTTTATTCTTCTTGATAATTTTTTAACATTTCTTTGCGATATTATAGTTTTGCTGCTTAATTACTTTCATCGT